ATATATATATATATATATATATATATATATATATATATATATATATAATATGTGCTAAACAGGGAAGTGTGAATTTAGCTGATTAGCAAGCTAAACAGGCTAGAAAGCCAGCAAGGCAGAAAAGTGACTGTTAGCTGGGCTAAACGGGGTAAGCAGATATGCTGCAAGTTAGCAGGTTAAACGAGCAGCAAGCAGGATCAAACCTTGTAGTGATGCCTCAGGCAGGGAACTAGCTGACCTCCAGTCGGACAGTTAAGCCACATACAAGGAGGGACCTGTAGTCAGGTTAACGCGAGGTGAAGTGCAAAAAGATTAGGGAAATGAGACCATGCTGCATATGTTTAACCTAGGAGGGCGGGGCCTCCTGTGTATGCACCAGTCTCATTTGCCTTGACAGGTGTGTTGAAAGAATCTTTTTACTTACATCCTGGAACAATATTAAGGGAGGCTGTTTGTGATAAAGGGATAACGATAACTGTTTGGAAAGCCCTGTCAAAAATTGTTGTCTCGTATGGGACTTCATAGAAAAACATAATCAAGGTGTTTGTTCCACCCTTAAAGAGAAACAAACCCATTCCAATTCATTCCGATAATTTGGGACCACTTCTCTTTAACTCTTTAAATTGTGATCCAGGATCACTTAATATGAAGACAGATGCCTTATCAATGGTCACCTGCACAGAAGACCTTGTCATCAAAGCTCACTTATAGCAACACAACTTGGTTCCAAAGTCATCTTGGTCACCATCAATTTGGTGAGGCCATTCTAGCACCCTCACCAGTAGGTACATCACGATAACAAATTTTGCTAGGCCATTAATTGTCTCAGAAATTATTGCGATAAACGATATTATTGTTTGAAGCTAATTATGAAGAAATATTGGTTTATTTGTTTTGCATGTAGTACCTTTTTTTCCGACCACTGTAGTATAAGACTGAACTGAAGGATGGATTGTAAGGGAGCGAGCAGCGTGTCTCTAAGAAAAATGGGAGGGAGGCCCCTTGACGTCACATGACATCTCTTCGGTTCTCAAAATGGCGGATGCTCGGTGTGGTTTGAGCTCTTTAGCATAGCATTTTACATGCAACGCTTTTAATTAAAAAAAAAAAAAAGTTCTCAGCTTCTTTTTGCAGAGAAAAACTTTTTACACCAAGGCTCTAGTTTCAATCGTGAATTTTGGAGCTTCGACAAGACAGAGGCTTTTCCCGAGGTCGGCCTGTTAGCTTAGATCGTACATAGCTTATTAGCTTAGCTGCTTTTAAAGATCCAAAAACGTGATTTTGAACGGTTAAAACAGATTTTAAACAGAAAAGAAAAGGGAGGAGTCAGTGAAGAGCACTGGAGTTGAGCTTTTTCTCATCCAGTGTCTTCAGAAAGAGAGAGACACGAAGAACTGATAAAACCAATAAATGAAAATGAGGAAGATCATTTTAATTTATCATGCGATTAATTGATTTGTTTTTTATTGCAACAGGCCTACTCACCAGGCAATGAAGAAGAATATCAACTCTAGCTTTTTTATTTGTTTTTAATTAATGATTATTGTGGCCTACTATAACTGCTGATATCAAGGCTGTAAAAATACCTCCTCCAAAGTCAGTTCAGGTATCCTTTAGCCTTCCCCCATTCCCAGTTTACTTGACTTGTTTCAAAGTGATTTTAGTTAAGAATTGCCTATTCCCCAGTGTACTTCCTTAATTCTTACCACTGCAGACCAAATGCCCAGGGATGCTCACCTTTGACTTGACTAGCAAACTGTAAAAACACAGATTTTGGGATGGAAAGAAAGAAGTGTCTAGTTCTGCTATTTGCCCCTTTACTTGTTTGTCCCTTATAAGTCTTAGTGTAGTTCATTAGAAACCACACAGGTGAAAATTTCTCAGCAGTTCTCCACCAGTGAAGAGGAGGTGACAGTGAAGACTCTTTTCAGAGGGAGCTGGTTTGGAGAGCAGGCTTTAATAAGGTGACACACACACACGTTGGACTCTGACACATTCATGATGGACTCTGATGCACACACACAACCTAAATGTTTTGTACTGTCCTTCCAAATGAAAATATTCTCCTATATGCTCCTTTAGTTTGCTGTTGAACAGAGACTGGTGATAATGTTTTTGCTTGTGTCTGTGTGCATTTATTTGTCTGCCTAGATATCACTCCGTTAACTTTACTGACATTCTGCTCAAAGTTATTGTGGTAGTAGCTGATGCTTGTTAACAAAAATTTTCAGAGTGCATAAGAACGTGCACTATGTTAGGTTTGACCAAAATGCCGATATCGCTGTCTGAAACCGTGTCAAATTGTCAGAAACTGTTCAACTGTAAAACATCAAATGGATCTTTATCTTTGTGCAAATTCTTGGCTTTTTTCTATGTTTGTTGATGAATATGCACAGATACACAAGCTTAACAATAAAACTAGTAACCATGGAAGACACTTATTATATCATTGTAATGTGGAATGAGTGAACAATTATTTGAGATGCGCTGCAGATATGAACATTGTTAAAAACCAAGAGCTGCAGAAATGCAGAATGTCTGAACACCTAAACCCATTTTAGCCTTGGAGTCTCAGTGTTGATCACCTGGCACCCCCGAGGTGTTTCAGAGCTTTTTTTTTATGAAAGGAGATCGATACTTCTTTTAATGAAGCAGAAAATGAAAAGCAAGTCTTCAGCCATTTTTCACAGCACACAGTGAGCCATTCATCATAATTAAATAAGGCGCCATGTCTGCTACAGGTGGCTGCATCACTATGAAATTACTGATGATGCTTCTCTCATACACCATCAGACCTCAGGAAACTCCCCATGAGCTTTAAACTGAGCCAACGATTAATATCTCAGAAATGCCTCCATGAAGTGAAATTTATTTTACTGTAAATTATGTAATGAAGAATATTTTGATAAATATCTGCACAAACTGTAACTCATAGCTTATGTATCATTTTATTTTTAGTTGCATTTAGCTAGTCCAGCATCCAGAGGTTTTCTGACGTCAAATTGAGGGAAGAATATTTTCGACATATAAAATCATTAATCATGTAATCAGCAAAATATTTGAGCTGATATTTTTAGTCAGCTATTTAGGAGCTTTCCATCTTAGACTCCCTCTATCCTGTCCTCTTTGGCCATTAAAATTACAAACGTCAGTCAAGGCCATAAAGTTCAATAACTGACTACTGGTTGTTTAAACACATTACTCTTTGACTGGTGTGGCAGAGAAATTATAATATTTTTTGTAAATAGTAACACTGATTTGTAAATATATATTGCAATAATTGTTGGAAGTAACTGGAAATATTATATTTTAGAGAATGTGGTCACTGACATAGTGAGCATCAGTGGCATTTCACCTGCTCAGGTGCAGGCACTTCAACTTTGACCTTTGTTATGCTGTGTTGTTTGCTTGTTGTATGCAGGTTAACACAAGGTCAACAATGCAAGGAAATTTTCAGCATGAGAAGAACCAATTCACCTCACTAAAAAAAGAACAAGAAATACTAAAGCATTCAATAAGGGTACAAAATAAAGTACCAAAAAGTGAAAAAGTAAAAATAATATTGACAAGGTCCAAAAGAAAAATTGTAAACAACAACATGGCAGAATATAACGGTGCAAGTAGGATGAATTAGTATAAACAAGTATTTCACAGGTAGTAATATTAGCTTAAACGCACACATGATATAAGCACATAATATAAACTACACAGGTTGTGTGACAAGTTATTGCACAGGTGAGTAACACTGAGATTATGAAGATTAAGAAGATTCAACAAGTCTGCTTCCTTCCTTAGATACAGAACTTTACTAATTGGCTTTTCTATGCATGTGAATGTTTCTGTTCAGTGCCCCGAGACAACTTTGTTGTGATATGGTGCTATATAAATAAACTGAATTGAAATTAATTAATTGAATTATGATGGTAAGGTTGTGACACACATGATACAGCCACATATGCAGCAGCAATAAACATATTACATGTCACAGATGTGGCTTGGTGCATTGTTATTGCCAGCTGTTCAGTGTTATTTATTGAGAGTTCAGTAACCTGATAGCTTGTGGATAATAACTGTCCTTTAGTCTTTTTGCATGCGACGGCAGACTCCTGTATCGTCTACCTGAGAGTAGTAGATGGAAGAGTCCTTGTGCTGGGTGGGTGTGATCCTTAATGATGCTGCGTGCTTTATGCAGACATCGGCTGTGGTAGATGTCCTGGATGGTGTGGAGGCTGCTACCAGTGATGTCCTCTGCTGTTTGTACCATTTTCTGTAGTGCTTTCTGACTGGTGCAGTTCCCATACCACCCTGTGATGCAGCCTGTCAGCAGGCTCTCAGTGGTCCACCTATAAAAGTTGGTGAGGATGCTGGTGTTCGTACCAAACTTCTTTAGTCTTCTTATGAAATAGAGTTTTTGGAACTTTGACAGGAAGTGACACGTTTCATCTTCTCTTTACATTTATTGTGCAATGTTTGAAGCTGCTGAACAGTGGCCTTTCCTTTTTCTTTTCTTTTTTAGCAAAAACTATGATAGATAGATAGATGATAGATAGATGATAGATAGATGATAGATAGATAGATAGATAGATAGATAGATAGATAGATAGATAGATAGATAGATAGATAGATAGATAGATAGATAGATAGATAGAT